ATTCACAATGAATTATTTAAAAGTATTAAAGATTCACCTTCGATGAGCCTCCTCTATTAGTCAATATCTGATAAAATCATATTTTGTAATTTATATTTTCTAAAACTTTTAAAGTAAATCTCATGCTGAAGAATGAAATCTCACTCCTAAAGCTTGAAAATTAAGTCACTCTTTTTTAAGACTGGCCCAATTTTCACTATTATTTAGAGAAATTTCACTCCAAAAAGAATTTAGAGAATAATATTATTTTATAATTTACGTTTAATTTTTTTAGATTTCTATGATTTGACTAGACATTTTATAAATATGTTTTACTTTCACGTAATACAATATTTATAATATTTATCTATAAGTACTCTACTAAAATAATAAAAATCTGTATGTAATTAAATATTCGAAATATTTACCTTTAATCACTATGTTACGCCTTTTTTCCTATCTATTCTTTTTGGTCATCATTTTTCTTATTTTTTTTTTACATCCTTCACACTTAATCTGTCCACACTTTCTTCCGATATAAAAACGCTGTAACTACTTCTAAATACGCTTCTACCTTTGCTAAAGACGCTTCTGCCCTCTCGCATGTCTTTCTCCCCATCCACTAACAACCAAATCCCTAGTTGTTTTTGCGAACTCATCAAATTTTTCCTATACTCTCTTTTCTCTCTCCTCAAAATGTTTTACTAACCTCTCCATTTCTCCTTTCATCCAGTTCCCTCTTTCCATCATTTTATTCTCCAGTGCTCTAATTTTCTCTTCCTATTTACATTATGTCTTTAATTTTTGATTCCCTCTATGAATGTTTTCGTCTCCTCTTTTAATGCCTCTAACTCTATATTTAATTGCTTACTTGTTTCTCTCACCTCGTCACATGTCTCGTTACCCTCGCTTATCATCCCCTATAAATAATACTTTCTTCGTGCTATCCTTAACTTCTGTCGTTAATTTCCTCTGTTTACGGTTGATCGTCTTACCTATACCCGGTTTCCGATTTGGATCTCCCGCATTCTTTGCCGCCATAACTTTACTCTCCAGTCTACCTCTATATATACGCCACAACTCGCCTTCTATCCTGCTTTCAATTTCTCCTTTACTTGCTCAACTTCTCCTATCTCCAAAATTTATTATCCTGCTATCGCTAGCTCGTCTACTTTCTAAAATTTTCGCTATTCGCATAAAAATCGCACAGCTCAAGCATACGCACTCTTAACACGCCATCTAACTAAGTAGATGGCTTCTCCATATTTGAAATATATATATATATACGTAGATATTTTATATCTTAAATTTTTTTTATACAACGTATAAAGTCTTTATGTATTTGATTATTTGCAGCCGAGGAATTACAATGCCTTGCCAGTTGGAACGATGGTCGAAATAAATATCTCGTGGGAACTTTGAAAGAAAGGAGCGCACTGAATGACGCAAAAACCTACAGGTGTGAAATATGTTTATATTTCAATTCTGTGTAACGTATTATCCAAAGTCTGTGACAGCAATTGTTTTTGTTGCGATTTTGTCGCGGGATACTTATACTGCGCGCATCAAGTAGTTTATTTACATGTCCAATGCACCTTACACATCAGATTATGTATTGCGATTTTAGTCACATTTCATGGCATGGTGTTTATGACATAAAAAGACTTGATAAGGTGAAAAAATGGTTAACCACACTCATTTGTCATAGACATTATTATAGCTTTCTGCTCCCTCCATGAAACGTATATGTATATAAATATATATGATGGAGACATAATGACTAACCAACAAGAAAAATCGGAAGATTTCTTTGAAATATTCAAGATTGTTATCGAATGCTTTTATTTGATAGGTGTTTCCTGTACGAAGAAAAGTCTCATCATCAGGGAAAAATGATTTATTTACTTGCACAGTCCGGCGACCCGACTTGCAACGGTCTAACCACAGTTTCCGAAGGTTCACCTACCATAAAACTTATTAAAGGTAATTGTACAAACGAAATCGAAAGGTTTTTCAGGATAAATCAAAATAATTATACCTTTTTTTATATTTTCGCATTATTTCTTGTGTTAACAGTTGACAAAGAGCACAATAGATGCAAATATCCTGCTTGGGTAACTCAACATCATGACTGGCACTCTCTCAATGGTACAAAAAGCTATCATTTTACAAACAAGAACGCGACGCTGAGAGTAAAAATGCAAGCACAGAATACTGATGGCGAAATCGTCCATGAGGAAAAAATCGTTTGTCACAATTTGGAGAAGCTATATCCGAATGACAACATGCAAGGGAATAAAGTGAAACTGGTTGCTCATGTCACCAGCGGCTGGTGAGTAATTTCTAAATTCTCTTGAGATTTTTAACATACATCACAGTTGTTTGAATCTTATTTATGGTTGCAGCGATATTGGTTACGTTTGCATGATATTTCACAAAAGAGACAGTCATATCATTGAGATACAGCAGTCAGGTGAGAAAAACTTTGGGCGTACAGCATTTAAAATCAGCATTACATAATATACATATGTAAAAAAAGTTTTTTTTTTTCTTTTATTGCAGATCAAAAAGCAATTATGCCAGAGGAAGCGTGCTCAATATCGGATCCCTCCACGAGGCCGTATACAACCTTAATAAGTAAGTGCTAATCTATGCTACGTCATCGCTTATAAATATTGATATATTTGTGCGCTTCATTATGATATTGTGGATTAGTGGGCGAGCAGCAAAACGTATGCAAATTATGTCTCTTTTTTTACAGCCACATTCTTGCATCAGAGAAGATGTCCTAATTCAGGACAGTATGAGATTCTGAATTTTGCTTCATCGGATGCATTGTCAGCTGCACCGACTCGGCAGCGGCGTAGCGAGCTGTCGAGGACGACCAAGAGGCGAACTTGGCAGGAAAACGAAAACGAGGAATGCAGAAGTACGGATATTCAAATTGGCTGCACCCTGTCCGATCAAGCCGAAATAATAATCGGCAGCACGTGCGAACATGAAAAGATTGGTAAATATGAATGAACATTTACTACTTGTTATAATTTATATGAAGAGAAAAAAACATATAAAAAGTAAAAAAAAAGACTAAAGACTCGATATATTTTGACAGCCTATTCTTGTCACGGCAGCTGGGAAGAGAAAGGAATGTGGTATACGATAGCGTCACAACGGAATTCGGAAATTTCAGGCAGTACAGGACAAACGTTTTGTTTTTCTATGCTTCTCAAAAATGCCAAAGACAAAGGCAGTAGACAGAAGCAAGAAAAAGAATTATGGCTTTCAAGGCCATCGCGTACTTGTCAAAGAGAAGTTAATGATGAATGGACCTATAGACTGTCCAATCAAGGTAATTACAAATATATGATATTTTGCGATTAAAATTAATCGAAAAATTGCAAAGATTTTTACGAGTAAATATTGAGTTGGAGGGAACCAACACCGATGATCTTGACAACATGTTTTAATCATCTCTCGTTGTTCATTAAAAAGTAGTTAGTAACAAAAGTTTGAAAAGAAATTTCTTACTTTTGCCACATACAATATTAAGAATTGCTCTATACTTTTCTCTGTTTACCTAATGACTTTTAATGCGAAGCGAGGTCCATCTCACCTTTCCTCCTGCCTAGCAGCACAAAACTTTCCACGCAAAGCGTGATCCCACTCGCCCTCCCCCTTCCCAGCCTATGGATGTGCGATTTTCCAAGCGCGAAGTAAGATTTACCTGCATAAAAACGCATGCCTAAGCAGGAAGCAAAGGTGAGATGGTGGAACTCGCTTCACGTGAAAAGTCATGCACCTCTAGACAGAAGGAAGGTGAGGTGAACCTCGCTTTACGTGGAAAATCATTATGTATATCTATAAGTAAGAGGTGTAAGGTAGTATTTGTATATACTAGAAATAGAAGACAATATTTTTTGAACTTCTTTTATTAATAAATTTTTAACGAACAACGAGCAATAGCTAAAACCTGTTGGAGATTATGACCTTGTCAAGGTCTAGGTCATCGGCGGTGGCTCCCTCAATCTCAATATTTATCGTAATATTTGAAATATTCAGGGAATATCTTACTATTTTTCAACAATTTATTTGTTGAAAAATAGATAATTACGATAATTGATCGCTATAGTTTCAAGATATATTATATTACATTAAGTTGGGTTTAAATGCATGATATGAATATTCAACATTTGCATTTTGTTTCAGGAGTGTGCGAAGTCTTAATGAAGACTCCAAACGCAGCGTCTGCTTCGTCGTTGTCCCAGCTTTTGTTTATTTTACATATAGCAGCTTACACCGCTATTAATACGCTATGCGTATTACTTTCGAGATGATCTGCAGCTATTATGTAAGACTGTCTAAGTACTATAATTTCCAGCACGAATTCTCAGGTATTGCGTGTTTCTGGAAGTGTATATAGCTCAAAAAATTTGTAAGCTATTGACCGATCGATGAGCTGTCGTAAATAGTGGAAAATGTGCAGCTAAATAGCTATTACCGACAATATTAATTTCCGTTTCGTTGGAACAGACTAATTACTTAAACCGGTGATTAAGAGTGTTCCCAATTGGGAATGAAACGATTTAAACATAAATTATTTTTTATACATACAATACTTAGTTAGAAAAGTGTTCCTTAGCTTGAAAGAAAATAATTGCTTGGCACAAGTTTCCTTTCAGTTGCCATCATGTTGTTGTCATCAAGTCAATAGTAATTTCGTTTAGGTCCAACCTTATGTGGACAATGGTTTGCCTGCACAGTAGTTGAAATACTGTCACATACTTATTGTCATAAAAGTTGCCACAATCTATTTGAAACCGTTTTCGTAAAATATTTAATCTACATTTCCATCAATTGAATGGACGAATAGTTTGAAAAATAGTTTGATTCTCTGTGCCATCTGGATTTCCAATAATCTATTATGCGATCGGTTTGTAAGAGGTCAACTGTTGCCTGAATGTTGCCATGAATTTGCTCATAACCGTTGGTAGCGATAAAAAATCGGTAATCCAATAAGGCAAAATTAAGGAAATCACTTTCCTTAATATTGAAAGCAACTTAAAACAGTTTCAAGCAAATTGATATTTGACAACAACCTGTGGGAAACTTGCTATCTGGATTATTGTAATTTACTGACTAGTATTCTAAATGAGTGACCAAACTCTAGATTACTAGTGTTTTCGATATAACGTTTGTTAGCTATATACTGCCTGAATTGTTGATTAATTACAATAGTTCTCAATGGATAATCATATGGATAATTTTTGATTGTTCATATGTTTTTCGCTTAATTTTTTATGAAAGAGAACCGAGATGATATATTCAGGACTAGGCAAAGACACATTGTAGATTATATTTTAAATACAAAAAATATTCTGTGGAAACTATGTATTTCAGATATAAAATACTGTTGAAAAGTATGGTTAAAGAGATACAAAAAATATTCTTGAAAAATTTGCTTTAGGATTAAGGTAAATATTTCGTATCTCAAACATTTTTACACTATACGTGTATTTGTAGTATTCCAAATATGTGTTGGAAACAACTGAGAATATCAGCTTATACAAGACTCGGCAGAGAATTTTATCATTACACATCGATTCTCTCGAGAATCGTGGTAACTGAAATGATCTCTATAATTTTCAGTAGGGATACACCGGATATCTGGAAAATATCCGGTATCCGATATTATCCGGTATTTTTTTTACTACCCGATCAGATAGCCGGATATTAATATCCAGTAATACATACATATTCGAAAGTTTGCGTCATCATTAATACAGAATTTTCTTCTCTTTCAATGGAACTTCTCGTACAATTCATTTTTTCTGTTTTTCTTTGGGAAGATAAAGAAATTTATCTTAAATTTATATTACCGCTATTTTTACCTTGCTTTTTTTGGAAGCCTTGTTCTTGATATTCAATCGGATATCCGAAAAGAATGTGACATCCGATCGTATCTGGTAATTTTACGATCTGGTGCATCCCTAATTCTTGACCTACCTCTGGATCAGACCTGTTTCCAGAAAAAAAAGAATACAAACATTTAAATCTCCATGTCAATTTCTTCGCTCATATGTCAATATTCTCTTCTATTGTACATGCTATATTTTCATTATTATCTTGTGATCATAAGATATTTAGTGAATACATTTTTGTTGGAGATAAGGCCTAAGCATTCTTAACGTGCAACAGTAGGTTTCTATGTAATTGTACAAAGATTTCATCCTTTACAGTTGAGTTCTTTGTATTTTACGTCATACATGTATTTGGAATACTATCTAGTCCTGATATAATACTTCTGAAATGACAAAGGCGTAATTTACGAGACAGTCTCGAATCACGACCACTTCAGAGTATTTATACTATAACTCGAAAACTCATGTACATTATTAAATACCATTGCGCTACTGTAAATACGACCAGGGTATAAGTAATCGAGATTTCAATTGGATTATTTTCGAATAAAGATTGGTATATTGCTATGTAATTACAGTTCGACAGATTGAACTCATACTTGGATCTAACGTAATATATAGCACATAGGTTCTATCTTTTAGCTAGTATATGCAATTGTACATAATATAATTGAGATATTGTATAAAGACTGTTTCTAAAAGAGTATAACAAATATACCGCTCACGATATTGCATTTTGTCACTGAAAGCGCATAGATATTGCATTTTCAAAGATATTCTTGAGATCGGCCTCGCAATAGGAGATCCGCGAAAATACGACACACTCGTACGTTACTACTGCTATTCAAGTTTGTGAACCAAAACAAATTCAAAGTAAAAGATCAGCAGATTGATAAAAAATATCTTATAATAATTTCTAAAATTAGTGACTATGAAATTAATTAAAGAGAAAACTATATGGAAACATTTAAAACTTTTAATAATAAAATTTAAATTTTAAGTTTTCAATAATAAAATTTAAACTTTAAGCTTTTCAACTTTGTCAAAAGAATAATTTTGTTGAAAGGTGTCTTGCTATAATCTTTTAAAATTATGTAAAACAAGGGAGAGATAATTTATCTTGACATCTTCTTAAAAAATTATAAGCTTTCGGCTCTAAAATTAAATGTTTCATTAAGATTAATAATCTTAATGCATATTTTGAAAAATTGTGTGGAGACAAGAAGTACTGTTATATTCAACCTATTGAATAAAATTGTACATTAATTAACATCGTTAGTCTTCAATCAGTACATCAAAGATTTCCAATGGGCCTAACGCAAAGGTAGGCGAGTGTGGTACATTTGCGGATGCATTAAGACTTGTACTAGTTGCGCGAGAATAGTGCTTTTGCATTTCCAGCATAGAGTTAGTGGATGTCGGAATAGATCGATCACGCATCTCGCTCCTCCCGATCGATGATACATACAGTTGGTACATGTATGCATCGAAAACGGATGTGCGCGTAAACTGATAGACACGTTTCGATCTATACAATGTGCTGAATATGTATATATAACAATGAGGATATTTCCTCTGAACAATTCCGGGTGATACATTTTTTCGATAATCCGATATGCGTGCGATCTCTAGATCGCGAGATCTGTGCGCGCTGTACAAATACACTGGTTGGAACTTGGAACTTGTGTACTTCGCTTTTTTTTTTCTACATTTTCGTGAATTAAGATAGCGTAATTAACGCTAGAAGATATTTACGAGCTGGCGCGGCTGTAAATTATACCGTTAATCGGTTGACTCCGAGTAACATTCACCATCGTATCTCTACACATTCCGTATAATGTAATTTAATATACAGATTTTGATGGTACAGAAACTTTATCACGGGCGCGCGTTTTATTTAATGTTTCAAAACATTTATTTTAGCAGCAATTAGACATTATTAACATACCACATAAACTTTTATTCTCAACACTTCGGAAGGATAACATAGCTAATGATAGATATTAAATTTTCAACATTTAAAGGTTTAAACTAGTCCGTTTGGATAATATTCGGTTAATAATTGTCATCAGTCTCCAACGAATTTTAGAACTAACGATTAACTTTCCAGAAGCATAGACAGCAAAAGTATTTAAAGAGCATCGATTAGAACGCATTCCTAGACGCGTACGTTCACGAAATTTATAACAGTTCGGCTACCAAGTAGAGATAATAGCGAGATGAAGCCTATATGATATCACGAACAGGGAAGGGAAAATATGATCCATCACACGAACCTCAATAGTTTTATATTTTTCTCAAATAACACACTGAAATATGTACACATAAAAGTTTTATTGATTATAAATGTGTATGTATGCATACAGAGAGAGAGAGAGAGAGAGAGACATACTTGCATACGTTATGCCACGTGCTCATATAATTAAGGATTAAAATCGATAGGAAGGAGCAGCGTGTAGAGGAACATGTATCTATGTAGTACTACATTTTAGTACTACATTTTACAATTAGTCGGATCTACATCCATTAACTCTGTGATATCACATCTAGGCGCAAATGTGACTGCCAAAAGAAAAAAGAAGAGAGAGAGAGAAAGCGAAAAGAAATGAACGAAGCTGAGCTCTAAAGGCATTTTTTTATTGTATATATTATATATTTTCTAAATAATGGACTGTTCCGGAATTCAGGAAATTTGTTGACGAGCGGAAGTGTATGGATTCGAATTATTAAACATTTGAGCATTTAAATAACGAAGACATGCAGATTCTTATTTTTATACAGATAGGACGACCTATCGCGATACCCTATCCTCCTACGCGCCCGCGCGCCCACACACACACACACACACACACACACACACACGAAACTCACGAATTAAGCGAGAACGTATACATATGGATACATATGGAATATATTTTACATAAGTTTTGTAATTACCGCATCATAGATAAGTATATTATTAGCGTTTATCTCCGAAAGCAGGATGCAAATCTCGACTTTAGACGCCTAGTTCATTACCGTCACCATTACTTTTATTACCGATATTATCAACGTATTAGAAGTAACTTCGTTATATTGTACAATTATCATTTTACACGCTACTTTGAGACGAGAATCTGATTAGTAGCAACGTAGTGCAGGCCTTGTTACTTTATCGTGATCGAATGCGAAACAGAAACGACAACCGATGCCTTATACTGTATTTCTAATGCCTTATGCGGATCACAAAAGTATGAAACGGTTGGTTACTTTCCATCCCAGAGCGTCTCCGTGCACAATTGTCAAAATTCGGCTGCTACATGTGCGTATATTAACAAATGTAAATTGTCACCTCTATACGGCGTGAACACGCTGATGAGTCCCCCATGTAGTCGCATATACGGCTATATTGAATTCCGGAAACAGATATTACAGATGTAACTTTAATTCTTCTAAAATAAGCTGTTACTTATAAGACATGAAAACGAGCAACTGCATGGTGATCGCGCGAAAGATGAATACATGAAAGAGAGAGAGAGAGAGAGGGGAGGGGGGAGGGGAGATATGAGTCGACAAAGACGATAACTCACAACTTTTGTACATCCACATACGCACACGTATATTTTGTTTATTGCTGTGATGAATTACATTATAAATATTAGCGTGTAAGGCGGTTTAAATGCGGCTTTTCTTGCCATTCTAATATAATTGCAAGCATTAGTCACACTCCCCGTTCGGATGTAAGCCTCTTAAAAACCGTACGGATATGGAACGACGACCTATTTATCCTTGATGTATTTAATTGTACGATATTTACACGATAGCATTCTTTGTAAAGCGCCTTGGATAAACGACTCGTCCAGAAGGCGACTCGCCGCAACGACAATTTCGTACAGGAAAAAAGGAAAGAGAGAGAGAGAGAGAGAGAGAGAGAGAGAGAGAGAGAGAGCGAGAAAGAAAGAGAAGATACCCGATTTATTTTGCTACGCGCGTGCGGAATTATGCGAGAACAAAACTATGCCGAGATATGTTTATCCTCGCGCGAAACTGACACGGTACTTACTCAACGATGCTAATATAACAGGGAGACTTTTCTTAATAAATAAAAAGATTATTGCCAACATCTGTGTCAACAAAGCCTTTGCCGCCTTCATTTCTTTCATGCTTCCAACTTTAACTTGTGTAATTGATAGAGTTGCACATTGATAATCGTATCGTGAAATCATTTCTTATCAAATGCAATTTTTATAATTAGACAATCACAAAACGCTTCAGATATATTAAATAATTTACATTAAAGATAGTTATAATAGTTAATGAGATTATTCGGATCATATTTGAATGTGTTTTAAACGACAAAAGGGTTTATACGTTATCTCGTATCGGTGTAAACTAACTGACAAGGAAATGTTTCCAACTCAAAAATTCACAAAATTATA